AATATTGTTTTTGGAGCTCTTATTCAAAAGGAAAACGAACAAAAAACATTTTGAACTCATTCGTGTATATATTTTGTATTTTATTAATTTCTTGTCCTCCAAAGTTATAAACCCATTTTTGTTTCCCAGAAATTTGTTTTAACGCTAAAGTCAGTAAATTAATTTCCAAATTCATAAGCATTTTTAATCTAATCGCAGAAATAAAAATAAGTTATTCTTGTTTTTAATAATTTTTTTAAAATTTTCATCTGTTCCTTGTACTGGAACTGTCGTTTGAATGATTACTTTTCTTATTTAAAAATATCGCCGTACCGTGTAGACTATTTCTCCTACACCACTGTATCAGTTGCAGTCAAATCAAACTGACAAGAGTTTCAAGCCGCTCTTTTATAACTAACGGCCGAAACATGCAGAAACAATTCCTGCCCTTCAGGTACACATTATTTCAAATTCTATTCTTTTGTATGACAGTTTTAATTATTAAAAATGTTTCCATACCACACCGACGTTCGCCACGTATCGATTTTCTACCAAATAAAACAATAGAAAAACTGAAACTCGATAACATATGAACACTGTCGATACTAACCAGGTATAATCTTAATTAAATTGTTAAAGTCGTATTAATAATAATTAAACAATATTCAAGTTAAAACTGGCAAAAGTATGGCAGAGAAATAAACACGCTAATCGGTAGTAGAAGTGCACGTTTTTATATTCTTAGCTGAAAATATGTAACAAGACATGCAAGATTATGCAAATTTAATTTTAAATATAAATAATGGTACAGGACAACGCAAGTCCTGATTATAAGAGATCCTGTACATTATACGTATTTCAGGATGGTCGGCTATACAATAGACTATGCATTTGCATACCTCGTAAATCCCTTCCCAACCCTCAAGTGTGGTTGTGACGCAGCCGAGTTGGGGTAACACGCCTGTCTCGTGTTTTGCCTCATTCATACCACAATCCCATAGTGTTAAAGTGGTGGAAGCTTTTCGGAAAATTTTTAGGGATTTTATCATCTCCAGATGGAAACCTCTCCCTTACACAAAGCGATTTACATTATTTATGCCATAGCTTTATCGGGTCTTACGAGGCGACGAAATGTGTTCAGTTTTAAAGGACAAGCCTTAGAGTTCAGTTGCCATTCCATAAATGCAATTATATCTTATTTCTAATATCCTAATTAAACACTGGATAATTGGATACTGGGAACGACCCGTTCTTCAAGTGTCTGAGCACAGCGGGTTCCAAATTTTCGTTGGCTTGATCTATGGACATTCAGTAGGACTCCTTGGACGAGAATTAAACACGGTGAAAAGAAACCGCACATGCTTATTTTACATTAATACTTAATTACTACACTATTTATCAATTGAAGAAATTTATTTTAGAGGCAGTAAATATTTGATTAATGAATAAGTTTTTCTAACATAATCCAGGATTTCAATTCTCGAAATTTCGATTTGAATTTAACCTACATTTATTAGCAACCCTTCCTTCTACTCAATGGATACAACGTATTTCTTTTTAGAGAATACAAATGGCTGGATTGAAAACCCTCTGTCATGACGCTGACGTGACCCAAGGGCACTGACGTCAGACTGTAGCTTTTCGGCTTCACCATAAGTAATATTTAAGAGAGAAACAAAGTCGTTCATATCCCTTTTTAGAGTTTTATTCCTCCGAAGAATTACATTCCAGAAAAGAAAACGAAACTTTCATGATCATACACTTCTTTAGCTCCACTAGGACCAAAACCGAAATATATCGATGTTCCAATATCCGTTAAAATAACAACATTTCAAACCTAATCCAAGTGTTTGTCTCTCCTTTCTAATCATTAATCAAATAAATTACTGTATAAATACTGCCCAACAAGAGTTCTGAGACGGCCATTGAAATTGATAAAGATGGCTGTCGTCCGCGTTGTTACTCCGTGTGGTCTGCTATAAGTTTACCGACGTTTCAGAAGTGCTTGCTGCCTACAGGATCAGGGCGATGAGTAAACCGGGCTGAGCTTACTCGAGGAACTGAATGACTGACATTTTGGTACGAGAAAACAAACAAAAGGCAACAGCATGTCACTACAAAATCTAAAGTACCAAGCCAACAGAAATTTTATTTTGCTTTGAACAGAATAGAAACCCAACCGTGCATAGGAGTTGGAGCTGATTGAATACAACGATCTCTAACGTAGTTCCAGACGAATATAGGAACTTTGGAGGACTTTGTTTCGTAGTCAGTTCGAGCTTTCATCAAAACTAAGGTAATAAGAACCAATTTTTCCGTGATTTCCATCATTTCAAAAATAATTGAAACTGTGCCTTCAGTTCAGAGCATATAACATTTTCATGAAGTATCTTTCTTTTAGGACGTATTAAACAATTTTGCTTTTACATATTAGGAGTTAGCTGTAGAAATAAAATGGCCAATGAACCTGGTGGTAGATGCGTCACTCCTTCTGATACCCAGAATACATGGTTTTATCCTTATGGTTTCATATAAAAGTAATCGAAAAACATCATATCAACGTCTACTCTCAACTAAGACAGCAGTGTTTTGCTAAATTCTTGTCTCACGTGTAGGTTATGTCAAAGAAAACTAATATCAGCTTTTTCTGCTATGAATCAGTGCAATAAGAGTTCTGTTTTGTTTGTGAACTGCTTACTCCCCAGACTGTTTCACTACCAGAATTATTACATAGAAAGGCTACGATTAATTGGCTCATGTTTAATCATGAATTTAATATGCTTGGTTTTACTGATGAACAGACGAATTAGCTCAAAATGCGCTCTCTTTGTCTCCAATTTACATACAGTACGCACACCTGTAGCCTATCCATAACACTGCATTTATGTTCCACGTATCACTTCTCATCAACACACATTTATATTGTGAAACTAATAACTTGCTTTACAAGAGTCATACAGTCTTAATTATCACCTCAATTGCTTCGCTATAGCATGCCACTAATTTCTAAGCTTAGTAAAATTCCTGCATATGTCCTGAGAAATGTATAGTAGGTCTATCAACTGAACAAAACTGGGACACGTTAGTTTCCATCAATCTGCTCCTTTCGTTACGCTTTCCTATAAAATACTGTACGGAGATTACGATGTCACATTTGTTTGCCGAGTTCTATAACTAAAAAATTAAAAATTGTCAACATTACTGCTGCTTTCGTTGGGAAATAGTTAACATACATAAATATGTACACTGTGGTGTGAATTATAAACAGGGTAATAATGATTCGGTTCAGTGTATTTATTAGCGTGCTTAATAACAAAATATAACAAATGGAAGCCGAGCTCTGATCCCCTTGTCGGCTAATTCTAATGGACGTGGAAGTGCGGTTTCGTCCCGACCATTGTGCTTCTGATTCATTTTCAGAAGCTCCTGAGAACAAAACTCTCTCCTACTAATGTTCCTCAGTCCCTTTGTCAAATTCCGCAATTTCTGGGACAGTGCGAATTCAGACTTAACTGACAATCTTATCGCCCGATGCTGTATATTCTAAGCTGCTGACAGCGTCATTAAAGAGATGAATAAATAAATATTTTTCTGTTCTTACATGCTAATACGGCTTGAATATTTCTGGCGGGTGAAACACATTGTAACAGATGATTCCTAAAAGAATTGGGGGGAAATAAGTAGTAATCATTCTCACGCAAAATGCCATGTTTATTTACACATTTTATAGTAAAGAACACTTACGACATGTTTCGGCTATATATAGCCGTCATCAGGTGTTATGTTATAAACTTTTTAACTGAATTACTGATTTTTACTAATTTTAATGATTTTTAGTTTTCATTTTTCTTATCATGTTCTTGTCCTTCATATTGTATCTTCATCTGTTGTTGTATCACAAGTCACTAATATGATTGTATTTCGTAGTGATGCCAATGTTGTGTATATGGA